ATTCGGGAGGACGCCGGTTCGATTCCGGGTCCGTCTGCCTTGGTCCAAGTTTTTCTGTGGTTTCCTTGGATCACTTAGGCAAATGGGCAGTAATATTCATTCCACAGATAATCTTTCATTCTCTTCTGTCTTCATTTCGTCCGTCTCATCTTTCTCACCCGAACCACCACCCACGCATTCCCACGATTCCTGAAAGCAGGCTGAAGAGGGCCTTCCGTTCCACTACCTTCCGGCGTAGTCCGGAGGGACTGCCCGCCCACCAGCATTACTGGCTGGTGGGAATGAAACACCCAAAAGTTTTTTTTTTTTTTATCATCATCGTCATAGTGTCCTCTACTTCTTTCCTCTTTTATATATTTTTGAACAAATGGTAATCCAACCGGGTTATATCAAAGCTAATTCCTGTGAGTAATAACATAGGTGGGGACATTTGGAAGCCTTATGTCTAAAACTTGCGTCATGTTACCTTTACCATTTGCGTATTTTTAAGCAAAAAAAAATTGTCCCAAAATAATCTTTGGCTAGAAATTTCATGTTTCAAATTATTTTGTTTCGATAGTTTCACATCATCTTGATTTGCCACTTAACTACAAACGCTGATACCAAAATCATAATGCTAATGATATCATCTAGATTAATTGAAACAGCAAACATCACCTTCTTTGGATAATTTAAATTCCATCAGCTATATTTTTATACGCGCGCCTAACATACTTGCGTTTTTAATATTCGTATGCTAGACCTGTGAATGTTGGCTTATAAATGATTTGTAAAGCACTAAAATGCTTATAAAAATATGTAGTTAAAAAACTAATTAAACTAATTATTAAAAAATGTTGTTATGTTAACCGTGAAAAACTTTATTACTAAAAATTATTAAAACGACAATTGAAAATAAATATAATACTTATTTGTAACAAAAGAGACTTTGTTTACTCTACCTCTATTTTCTAATTAGTTTGAATTAAATTAAACAATAAGAGAGAACAAGAGATATATGAGAAGCAGAAACAGGAGTAGAGGTGGACCTATATTAGATTATTGTTCATAAATAGTTATGATAAGAAAGACTGGAGGTGTGTGTTGTAAAGACTACCAGAAATCATTATCGTTTGAACAAGCAAACATTCTGGTTCTTCTTTTAGTCAGTAAGATTTATTATTAGCCTAATAAAGATTATTCTATTACGATTTACGAAAAGTGAATACTTTTATTTACTGGTCGTTCTATATAAATTGCTTTACTAAATAATTAAATTTGTATAAACAGTGAATTAGACTGAACGGGTAGTGTCACCAAGTTTTTACATTATTTAATATTAGTTTAAAGTCGTGTGTTAAAACGATTCATACGAAAAACCAAGAAAAATCGAGGTACGTCCGAAACAAAATTAAATCCTACATTTCGAGACGTAACAGTACGTATCATCGATGTTGCTGCTAGAAAAAAAAAATACCTCCTCGATTCGATTCCCGGTAAGGAAGTAACAGCAATAACAATTCTTCCTCATCAATTTGAGGTTATCTGTAGTGGATGAAATTAATATAAAAAAAATATTTATTTATAATGAGCTTTATTAAAACAATGTTTTATATATACAAAGTACAAAGGTGCGGTTTTTATTGTTCTTCTTGTCCTGCTATTTTCTTCTTCCTCAAGATTTCTCTCATCCTTTTCATGTTGTTCACTCCTTCCAGTTGAGTTTTCCAGCTTTTTGCAGAACTTCCCGTTTCCCCACATCGCTCAAAAGTATGTTCAAGCGTCTCTGGCTCCTTTTTACATAATCTGCATAATTTCTTTTCTTCCTCTTCCCAATACCTTGACGCTCTATTTTCACTTCCCAATCTAAATCTTGCAGTTAATTGTAGTTCGTTTTTCCCATTACTCCTTTATCTTTCAAAATATTGAGGTTTTTCTTCTTCTTCTTGAGCGAACTTTAGGTTTCTCATTTTCTCTCTCCTTCTTGTCTTTAGTTAAGTTTTCTAGTTCCTTCCATACAATTCTCTCATTTTTCAACTTCCCTATATAATTTTTGATTGACCATCCTCTCTCCATTAAAAAATTCTTTTTTTATTTTTTCCATCTATCCCTTGTGGTTTTCTTCTCTTCCTTTTGCAAGACCGAAATATTGTCCTTAACTTTTACACATTGTTTTAGAATTGTGTTATCTTCGGAATTTAATACTTTTTCTTCGTACTTTAAGGTCCTTTTTAAATATTTTATGGTCAGTATTTCATATTTAGTTTCTTCCTGAAGAAGGTATCTCGGAGTACTATTATCTAGCTTTAGTGTCCATTTAATATATCTGTCCTGAATAGTTTCGATTTCTTTTCTCTCTTCCCAACCCCAGATTTCTGGTCCATACTTTCTACTAGTGTCTCAAAAAGAAACATTCTCTTTTTCCAACAATCTCTTAAGTTTCTTTCTCCTATTCCCCATACTTTTCCCATTACACCCAATGCCTTCTTTTTCAGATTTTTAATGTGCTTTTCTACTCCATTATTCCTCTGCAATATGAAGCCTAGCTAATTAAATTCTGTAAAAATTAATTCACTGATTCATTGAATCAGCACTACAAAAATTCAAAGTATCTCATTAATGTCGTGAATATTTAGGGGTAGATAACAGACAATGCTAACAACATTATATCTGCGGGAAGTATACTGTAGTAACTACAAGTTTGTCTGTACCTATTTGTTATTAATAAGTGGTTAACTTTGCTGTTCCTTTGTTTATTAGGAACATCAATTCCAGGCCATATGAATTCAGATAATATTCCTCAAATGATAACGCTGACATTCGATGATGCAATTACATTCGATAACATTGAAATAATCTCTAAAATCTTCAAATCTCACAGAAGGAATCCAAATGCTTGTCCAATCAAAGCTACGTTCTTTGTTAGTCATTACAACAATAATTACTTTTTGACACAGAAAGTGTGGAACAACGGTCATGAGATGGCGATACATTCTATTACGTAAGTACGTACCTAATGTTATATTTACAGTTTTAGTTTTAAGGATGTTTGGGAGGTACAATCGGAGACAAGAGTACATAAAATTAGAAATTAGTGATTAATTAGGTTTTGAAGCATATCATGAGGTAAATAAATACTATCTATACTAAAAAACAGTATACGGTTTGAGAGAAAATTTTGAATTTGGCCAAAAACTAAATAATATAAGAAATAATGAATAATATGGAAAATTTTTAACTGACTTTTGGCAGTGAATATGCCTTGATTTCAACTTCGAAACAAAAAAATATTTAGTTTCAATCTTTATTAATAATGAGCGTAAAACTTTTTAATATGTTTAAATAATAATTAAAACTTTAAAATTGCATTTATTTCAGACAATTATAAATATTATCATTATATTATCAAGTAAAAACGAGATTTTCAGCTAATTTTTCATTTTTTCCTCGATAACCATTTAGTGAATTTGAATAACCTTACGCTAAAGTGATTCTCCAGAGTTCAAGTTACTTATTATAAAAGTTTGAAATTTCTGGTAGCTTTTTTTCTGTTAATAAAAATAAATTTAATCTGTTCGGTTAACGAATCTCCATAAAATGACGTGTAAAATTACAATTTTTTAAAATTTCAATAACTTTTTAACGGTTTAGTGAATCGATTTGTAATTTCTACAGGAGGTTTAGAATTGAATGAGGAACGTTCTTCCAAATTTTTATTTGTCTCGTAGCATTTTGACATACCTCTCAAACATTCTTAAATCTTAATCTAGGTAAAATTAATTAAAAACTCTTTCTTAAATACAAGCTTTGCATCACGCAGCTTGGTGGATAGTTGTTTAATTAATTATTTACTTTACTGTTAATGAGATGTAAGGGAATTGAAGCTTTCAAAGGAATTTAAAAGAAAATTGTGAAGCAATTACTTACTTCAAACCTAACGCAAAACCCCGATAAGCTTCGAAAAGAACGACAAATGCTTATTAGGCATTTAATTAAACTTTATAATGGTAAATGCAAAATTTTAAAAGTTGTAATACGGGATACCCCGTCTAAGTTATAAATTAGCTTTCAGAGGTAAATCTCAAGAAATTTTTAATTGGAAATTTACAGGCAATTTATTTTATATTTTGCCACAAAATCAACAAGAACTTTAAAATTTTGTGAACCAATTTTATGTAGTTGCGAAGTTTGTATGGCTTGTTTAAGTTTTTGCTAATGATAATAACTTAATTACGAACACAGAAGTCCAGTAACTTCCTTCATCATAAAGAAATATGTTCCCCTTTTAAACATTATGTGATGGTAACTCTACACATGGCAAATGTACATGTCCCGAGTCGAAAAATTGGGACTCATTTTATCCTCAAATGAACTATTTAGACTCATTTTTTCCTCATTTAGACGTTTTTAATCTCAGATACCTCAATAAGTTTTCATAAGACTCATCACATTGGATTCTAAAAAGTCTCATTTTATTCTCAATGTCTGCAATCCTATGGCAATAGTCCTCAATTTAACCTCAACAAGAAAAGAATGAGACTTTTTGAAGACAAAATGAGGTTTCCTAAATAATCTTTACTCCTCAAAAGTCTCATTTTGTCCTGATACGGGAAAACCGCGGATAAAATGAGACTTTTGAGTCTTGTAGTTTGAAATATCCCTAAAAATTCTATTGAGATCAAATGAGGACAAAATGAGTCCCAATTTTTTGACTCGGGTGTACATCCATATACAATAGTTGTTGCTTGATGTGACGATGTTATTAATTTACATTCGTCGGTGGACTGCTGCACCATAAAAGACAAATTTCGAAGAATTAGTGTACCCCTAGTAAAAAAAAAACACAAAATAAAAATAACTGATGAATATGCCGGTCGGTCGGTCAGTCGGTCGATATAAGTGTGTGGAATTGTACTCCGATGTTTTAGATAATTTAAGTGGAAACAGCTAGTCGATTTTTAGTGTTGTTTTGCTGCGATTAGATATGTAGGATCTTCATGGGATAGGATTAGTGTTATTGATGCAGAACTGTGTTTGGAATATATTTCAGTTATTTTCTGTTGCTGGTAGTCACGTGTTCGTAATTGGAGTGTTCCTTCAGAGAGATAATTTTTTGTTTATTAGACCTTCCTACGATTTATTATTAATATATTAGTGACAAAAGATAGGGTTGGTCGCAAACGACCCTGTTGGGAACGAACCGCCCAACAATGTGTCCAAAAATTTTTAGACTTGATTCGTCGCAGGTTGCGATTTTTTAACACTACCAAACTATCGTAGAAAATGAACGTTGACTAAAAGGTTTTTAATTAAAATAAAGCAAATAGTAATCACAATTTTGTTGATTATCGCAACTAAAATATCACGTTTGACCATATTACAGGCGACAGAAATTGACAACCGCCGAAATTTGGGTCAAGTTGGAACTAATAACAGCCTGAGAGCTAAATAAAATGTTGTAATTAGTTCTTTTCTTCTTTACATAAAATACCATTTTAATTAAAATTTTTATATGCTTACCAAAAGCTTACGATCGGCATTTACAACTACGAATACGCATATCTGTTTTAGAAGCACCTTCACCACAAAATCAAGCTGTCACATAAAATATACGTAAAAAATTACTTTCTTGTTGAATTAAGCGGATTTTTTCGTTTGTTAGGTACGAAACAATGCCTTAAGAATCCGTTTCACATGAATTACATTGTGTTGGGATTCGTTTCCAGCCGGTCGTTTACGACCCACATCATAATTTCAAACGTGTAAGCAACAGAATTTTTGAACATCTTTTGGGGAGTACTTTGACATATACCAACAAGTTTAAAAGACAAAAACAAAAAAATTCAAAAAAAAATTCCTGGGAGGGAATGGGTTAATGGGGACAAAATGTTGTTGCTGACACACCTTTGGTATTATGCACGAACGCTCTTAACCCCTAAGCTACGGGAGATAATGGCAGAAACAACGACGATAGGTATTTATTAGGTCACAGATTCTTAAAATATTTCATGATATTAAAAATAACTATCGGGTTGTTCGGAAAGTCATTTCGTTTTTTCCCGAGAGAGGATTTAATTGTATTCCTTTGCACCCAACTTCACATTTAAGCCGTATAATTTTTATATGCTTTGAGAGCTCATATAGCAAGGCTTGTGTGTGAAAAATTCCAATTAATTCTACGCAGTAGCTTTTGGTTGGTGCCCTTTTAAATATGGAGAGCGAT